TAAGATGAAGCATATCTATTGTGGAATATTAAGTAATAAAGAGATGTAATGACACATTATAACTTGGAAGAATTCTGAAAATACACTGAATATAAAGTACAATATATGATATAAATATGAGTACTCTAACAAAGCCCATCACTTTACATGCCAACTTAAAAAAATTAAACAGCTGAATGAAAGCAACAAAAGACAGCATACTAAATGACTCTAGTTCTAGAAAATAATCGGCATGGGCAATCTATACAGAGACAGAAAGTACATAATTAGTCACCTAGGTTTGAGGGAGCCGAGAGGAAACTGGTGATAAAAATGTTCTAAAATTGGCTGTGGTGACAGTTGCACAACTGTAACTATACCAAAAGCCACCCAACTATACAGTTTTGCTTTTTTTTTTTTTTTTTTAAGACAGGATCTTGTTAATATAGCCGGGCTAGCCAGGCGTTGATGGCACATGCCTTTAATCCCAGCACTCGAGAGGCAGAGGCAGGCGGATCTCTATGAGTTCGAGGCCAGCCTGGTCTACAGAGCAAGTTCCAGGACAGGCTCTAAAACAACACAGAGAAACCCTGTCTCGGAAAAAAAAAATAGCTGGGCTAGGGCTATTCCAGACCCTCTCGCCTCAGCCTCCCAAGCACCTGGGACTACAGATGTGTGCCGCTATGCTCAGCTGAACCATATTGCTTACAGGAGTAAATCGAATGGCATATGAGTTATCACCCCCACCACTTTTTAAAGGCAGGGCCCTGTTTTTAAACAGGCTGATTTCCAAGGATGACCCTAAACTCCTGGTTCTCCTGCTCCCACCTCCAATGACTAGGATGACAGGCAAACCCCATCACTCCTGGTTCATGGGATGCAGGGCTTCACAAAGCCTAGGTAAGCATTCTACCCACCTTCCCAGCCAGAGTTACTTTACGTCTCATAAACCTGAGTTTTTCAAAGTTTTTAAGCTTGAGGGCTGGGCATATAGCTCAATTGGTAGGCAGCTTATCTAGCATTAAGGCCCTGAAATCGCCGGGCGTTGGTGGCGCACGCCTTTAATCCCAGCACTCGGGAGGCAGAGGCAGGCGGATCTCTGTGAGTTCGAGGCCAGCCTGGTCTACAGAGCGAGTGCCAGGACAGCCTCCAAAACTACACAGAGAAACCCTGTCTCGAAAAACCAAAAAAAAAAAAAAAAAAAGGCCCTGAAATCAATTTCCAGAACTGCAGAAACTAGGAGTGGTGGGCACGTGGCACACAATGCAGAGGTGGGAGAAGAGACTAGAAGGTCATCCTCAACTATGTAGCCAGTTCAAGGCTAGCCTGAACTACATGAGATCCTGTCCCTTCGAACAGTAAAATAAAAAATAGAACTTGAACCCTTGAACCCTTTGCTTAATTTCTAGTAGTTTTCATTTCACAAAGAAAACAAAGCTCCAGGCGCACTCCTTTAATCCTAACACTCGAGGCAGGGGCAGGTGGATCTCTTTGAGTCCCAGGCCTGCCTGGTCTACTAGTGAGTTCCAAGACAGCCAGGGTTAAAAAGTGAAACTCTGTCTCAAAAAAGAAAAAAAAATCTTTAATATTTGAAATCAGAAATACAAACATTTCTTCAAGGTGTGGTGCATGCCTTTAGGTCCCACAAGCAGAGGCAGAGGAAGGCAGATATCTGAGTTTGAGACCAGCCTGGTTTACAAAGGAAGTTCCAGGGCAGCCAAGGCTACACAGAGAAACCCTGGTTCAAAAAAGAAAAAAAAAAAAAAAAGCAAACATTTCTATACTTAAATTTTTTAAAAAGTTAACTTTTTAAAAACTTATACAAAATTCTATCTTAAATAATAACTTCAAAGAATTATACTGCTCTTTACTCAAATTTCAAAATATGCTCCAACGTGCTGATGAGTACATTACCTGTTTTCTCTTTCCACCCTAACTATGTGGTCAGAAAACACAAATGAAGCCATGTGTTTTCTGTGGGCAGTTTCAACTACAAAAAAATCCAAACAAGAGGAAAAAGAAACCAATCAAACTGGACTGGAGAGATGGCTCAGAGGTTAAGAGGTCCTGAGTTCAATTCCCAGCAACCACAGGGTGGCTTCACAACCATCTATAATGAGATCTGGTGCTCTCTTCTGGTGTGCAGGGATGTGTGCAAGCAGAACACTGTGTACATAATCTTTAAAAAAAGAAAGAAAGAAACCAATCAAACAGGCCATAAATGGCCATCCCAAATATACACACATCAAATTTCAGGAGCGGCTTGGAGGAAAACTTTCAGAACTGAGTGTGACCAGAGGGTGTATGTGGAGATAGGTAAGGCCTCTTCCTCTACAGGGCCGCCCTAGGGTCTTCCTTCTCAAAGCATGCTTCCTGGTCAGCAGTAGCAACAACTTCAGAGTCTGCTAAAAATATACATTCCAAGGCCCCAGTCCTCCTTACCCAGCATCAGGGAGTTAACAGAGTCCCCAGGGGATGTGTCTGCACACTAAAATCTGAGGACTACTACCAACTCTCCCCTAAATTAAGACGGCTAGAGGCTGCGGTAAACTAATGTTTTTGAAAACCTGTCATACATACAGCGCTGGTTCTGAGCCAGCTGGTCCTCGGATCCATCTCTGGTTCTTCTGATGTGTTTCAAATTGCAGAGGAGGGGTCAGTGGATGTGTAGCAGCAGCTCTACCCTCTCAGAGCTCCGCCAGGTGGGACTCCACAATTCCAGCTTCTGGAGGACCCCCACTGCCCCCAGAGCCTGATGTGGTCTCCTCCCTTTGACCTTTGTCCCTCCACTCTGTGGTAGCAGTGGCTTCCTGTATGTTGCTTCATCTCTGAATTGCCTCACTGCCTGAAGCTTCCACGCACTGTGTGGCACCTGTGCCACACTCCCCTGAACTCAACTCCTCTGGTCAAAACAGTGAGAGAGGGTTCTGATCACATCATTTGGAAATTTGCACGATGTACCACAAACATATACCAGAAAAACTTTGTGAATGGCCTCTCTGCTACAAAAGGGAGTTATTGCACACATTAAACCTCACATTTACCACATCCTGACAAGCGCTAGTAACCCAGAAGAAAAATCAGCCCTGAGCTATCTGTACAGCAGATGTGAATGTATTCTAAACGCAAATCCTCGGGATGTATTTTTAACACCATAACCACCATTCCCCCCACCAACCAGAACAGCTGGTACAGCAGCTATTGTCTTCATCCTAAGGCAGGGAGACACCTCCTGGCCAAGAAAATTCTGGACTCACTTAACTCTCAGAGAAATCCACCCTCTACACCACGGTCTTGGCCTTGATCCATCACTCCCTTCAGTCCCAGGATCTGATCTACCTCACACCAGTGCCCATCTTAAGGAGCAAGCACTAGGAAAGCATTCCTATCAGTGTCAGGACTTCCTAAACATGTTCCCAGGGCACATCTCCCTGTCACTCCCATGCTTAGGATGGCCTTCACTGGGGCTCTCTGCCCCTGGCTAATCATTCCTGTCCCTTCCACTCAATCTGATTCACTGACTGTTCCAGGTGTGCCAAAACTTTCAGATGAAACGTTCAAATCTTCCATAGCATTTACTATGCTATAATGTCACAAGTGCAGGAGTCCTCTCCCTGCCTGCCAGGAAACCCCTAGATGGGGAAACTGAGATGCTCATCAAGGTTCAAACCCAGACCCATGTTTTACTACTTCTGCCACCCTGGGCAAGTCATTTAACTGCTCCACTTCCGTTTTCAGTTCCTAGGAGCACAATGCGGGGATACTAGTTACCACCAACTCTAAGTGAAATGCTCCAAGCTAGCCCAAGAGAAATTGGAGAATTGTTACAATTGCTCTATCGTCGCTGGGGCTGTTAGTGCTATAGTTAGAATAGCACAGGTGTTCGATCCCATGTGCTGAATGACTGAGGTCCGCCACAACAGTGTAACACGGCAGCACCTAAATGCGCCCCCCACCCCCAATCGCAAGTAACAGAGGCTGACAGATGATAAAGCAAGATATGACTCTTCCAGCAAAGGGTAACTAACTGGCCTCGGAGGAAAAGCGCACTGCAGCAGAATGAGCAAGCCCGTGCCAGCCGGAACTGCCAGGGATGCCCCACGGTGGCAAACTGCTCTCCGCCACCTGTCCAGCCACCTGCCTGAGGAAGCCCTTCCAACAAGGAGGGCTCACCTCAGCAAGAAACCATACGCAGTTTTCAAGAGGAACAAAAAAAGGAAAGCAAAGGGTGCAACTTTATTCTTCGGGAAAGAAAACAAAAAGGCATGCGTCTCTCTGCCCAGCATCCCGAGTGGCTGGAGTTCTCCACGGAGAGTTCTGAGCCCAGCGGGTGAGGAGTCCCGGCTCTCCCGAGGAGGGAGGGAGAAGAAGCCACTACACACACATCCCTTCCCTTTCGGAACCTGAGGGTGGGTGAGGACCCCGCAGCCGAGTGGACACTGGAGGGTGAGCCCAACACAGGTGAGTACGGGAAGCAGCACCCGGTTGTCAGACGTACAGACCCCCCCGGGCCTCGGGGAGAGCACGCCTGTGGTCCCCGCGGCGACCCAGCAGCACGCCGGGCCTCCGTCTCCTGAGCGGCGGCGCCCACCTGCGCTGAATCCCCGCGGCCCCGTCCCCGCGGCCCGTTAGGCGGTGGCGCACTCGGCCCGGCGGCAGCGACCGCAGGACCTCGGCCGGGCAGGGCCTGGGCGGCCGCTCGCACACGGTCACGGGCCTCGGCAGGGACCGCGGCGTGAGGGGCGCGCGCCCGGCCGACGCCGCGGGCTCACCTTCTGCCTAATCTGGCCCGACGTGGACACCTTACGGATAAGCTTCTGTGGGGAGCCTGGCTCAGCCTCGGGTTCGCTGTCGGACGACTCCTCAGGCGGCGGCGGCGGAGGCGGCTCAGGCGGACCCGGCGGAGGGGCGCCCGCCGCCGCCGCCATGCTGCCCGGCCAGCGCGCGCGCCGCGGGGGGGCGGGGATGGGATGGGCCGAGCTCCTGGGGCGGGGCCTGAGGTGGGGCGGGGCCTAGAGGCCGGGCGCCCCACCCCACCGCGCCCCCATAGGCAGTGGGCGCAGACGCAGGCTTGATCGGCCCTCTCTGGTTGTTTCTGCCCAACCCATCTCTTTCCTTCTTCTGTATTCTGTCGTTTTCTTCTTGGAACACAATTTCCGTTTCTTGTTTCTAAGTACACTTTTCTTTTTTCAAACCCGAGTGTAAGAGCCTTCTAGGAGGCCGAAGAACTATGCTGGTGAAACAGTTTCCAGAGGGGATGCGTGCACGCATATACACCGGGAGGGAGAGAAGACAGAACTTCTGTTAAGGCCACTGTATGGGAGAGATGGAGAAAGTGTTCTAGGCAGAGGCCAGATCTATGTAAAGGCCCAGCAGCAAGAAAGAAAAGAAACTGTGGCTTAGAGGGAGAAAAATGGCTTCAAGATAAAAACTGGAGAGCTATAGGATCAAATGAGGCTTTAAGGACCAGAGTAAGGACTGGCCTTTCCAGTTGAGGCCTGAGGGCAGCAAGTAGCTCGGGGGAGGGTGGGGTGTCAAGCTGGTCCTGGCTGGGTCACAAAGCTGGGACCTATGATCCAGGCTTTGAAGTGTCGAGGCAAGTAGCCACCCAGAACTACTGGGTGGGGCTGAGAGATAGAGAAGGGAACTGAAATTCATAAAGGAGAGATGGGCACGCAAAGCAGAAGTGATCAGAACGAAGGCTACACTTGGGCAAAAGAGGATATGCAGTAGGGTGAGTTTGGGGTGTTTGGGGCACGCTGAGATGGAAAGGACCTCGTGTCATCCAGGAGAATGTGCTACCCTTCTACTGTGCCTGGCTGGAAGGGGTAAGTCAGCAGAGGACTGCCTGGCTGTTCCTTCACCCTTCCAGAAGGCTGATGCTAGAGACCAGGGACCTCTGTCCTAACCACCAGTCAGCAAGCTCTGGGCCTCACTGCACTGGGAAACTCTTTCCAGAAGCAATAAAGGTCAAACACCACCAGGAGCCACGGCATGCCATCCGGCAGGAAGATGAGGGCCAGGACACTGACCTCAGGGCCAGCACAGAGGATAGCCAGGCCTGAGACCCCTTGGGTGAATCAGGACACTCCATCCACCCTGTGCTATAGCCACTAGCTACATGCAACTACTTATATTTAAATCCCAATTTCCTAACACTAGGGAGTTTGTGACCAGCCTAAGCTCTAGAATGACATTTTTAAAAAGAACCAAACATTAAGTAATAGTGACGACTCCCAAACATAGAGCCACACCCCCACAGGACCAGTGAGTAATGATGCCCCTGACATGGAAGTCTCAGGTATCACTCCATAAGTATGCCAAGGAGGCAGGGTGTGAACTCAGACCAACTGATTCCTCAGTCTGGGTGCTGCAGGGTTGGTCTCCCAGGTAGCCAAGGCTTGTGGGAAGTTCATATCATTGGTACAGCATCGACAGAAAGACAGAGTATGGGATTGAAGGAAGCTCACTATAATTCAGTACTGAAGTCAAGGCCCTTGCGTCACAAGATTGTGACTGTATGTAACAGTATTAGTAGAGTGGACCTTTAGAAGGTGACTGTGGGGACAGTGTGATGGCTTAGCAAGGGAAGGTACCCAATGTCAAGAATGCTGGTTTCAGCTCAATCCCTAGAAACTCATGCAGTGGAAAGAGACAAGGAAGCCACAAGCTGTCCTCTGACCTCAATACATGTGCCATGGTACACACAGGCCTTTCACACTACTAAATAAACTTTTTAAATGTAAAATGTAAAAAAAGTATTTCTTAAAAAAGGAAACAATGTTAAGATGAGGTCATAATGCCAAGCACATTGCTACAATCCCAGCACTCAGGGAGCTGGGGCAGGAAGATCACAAGTTTAAAATCATCCTGAACAATTAGCAAGACCCTATCCCAAATAAAAGAAGAAAGACGAAGAGGAGGAGGGGAAGGAAAACTGAACCGCCTAGATAGAGAATTGCACTGGGGATTAGAAAGGGATTAGAGGCAGGGAAAGCTTTAGAAAGGGCTTGTAACCCTGGGCCAGCTCCAAGGTGGTAATCTTAGCAATAGGGATGATGGACTGAAGACAAAGCAGAAGGGGGAAGATGAACAACTACTCAGTGCAAAAGGGGATTGGGAATCGGATGCCTTTCCAGGAGGGGCTTCTGGGGGATGGCAGCATCATCAGCAAGACCTCCAAAACATAAGGAAGAATGAGTTGGGCTTGAGATGCTGGGTGTGTTGACTACACCTGCCGGAAGTTCAGGGGACATCGTTCATGATTTTTAGAAAAGAAAGCCATGGGTAAGAACATGATAGTAACAGCAGTTGGCAGGGAGAAATCAAGGCTGGATAGGAGGATGGATAGATAGCTGCAATTAGGAAAAAGCCCTAGAGATTGTCACAGCCAAAGAGCCTAAGGAGACAAGATGACTGTGTCACATGGATCTGAGACATGATCTTGGAACAGAAGAGGGCCATTAGGTGAGGAAATCTGAACAAAGTATGTGTTTAGTTTAATAAGAATGTGTCAATGCCAATTCACTTGGTGCAGCCACTGTACTGCACTGATGTAAATTATTAATAACAGGGAAACTGTGGGTCTTTCTGTGCTCACTTTTCTGTAAATCTAAAACTATTTGAAATAAAGCATATTCTTACGAGAAGGCTATTAGGCTTGAAAAGAATTGCATTATGCTCTGAAGGCAGAGAAACCTAACTTGGACATGATTTTTTTTTTGACACGTGAAGAAGCTCTTTTGTTCCCTGGTAAATGCACAGTGTGGTTCCCTTGGAGATCTCAGGAAGGGCTGAGCTATCAACTCCCCAAGGCGGCTGGCTAAGAAGAGAGCATTCCCTCTGGTGCCTCTTTCCCTGAGTGAGTCACACAATGAATCATGTCTAATGATGTGCTGTGCCCTGAGTTTACCCCACCTGGAGGGCATACCAAGGTGGCAGTAATAACACATCTCACATCCAACTTCATCAGTCTCTGTGACATACAAGGAAGAGGACCAGACTCATCAGAAAGAACCGCCTGACTAGGATGTCTCTACCTAAAAGCTTGGGATGACCCTCATTCTCCATGAAGCAGGACAGCTTCTTACTGAGTGTGACTGAGAGACACCCTGGACATTTGTGACAACCACAAGAACACCCCACCACTCACAAACTTCTAAATGTGCCTGACTTCTACCCTACATGCCCACCCCACCCTGGGACCTGTATACTATCTGGCCTGTGAAATGGATGGGGAGGCAGGCAATAAACCAACAGCCCCCAAAGGAGTTTGGATGTGGGAAAAAATGCAGAGCATTACATTCACAGAGGAAAAGAGGGACCATCAGCGAGGTCCAAGCCAGAAAGGGGGACTATACGGAGGTAGTCATATGCCTGCGATATTGTACTATTGTAGCTTTGCGAAATGAGGCCAATAGATAAAGCAACAGCCCCATGAGAGCTCTATCCTATCTTACAACTACATGTGAATGGCCATTGTTTAGTCACAAACATTCTGCTCTCCTCTCAGGCCTGCCAAAGTCTTCTACCTACTCTCTCCGAACTGAGTTTCTTCACCTAACAAATGGGTGGCAGTACCACCTGTTGGAACAACTGGATAGAGTGTGAGGTGCCTGCCACGAGGCCTCAGTGAATGGCAGGGATTCATGTTTCTCCACTGCTTTGTTTGCTGGATACTGAACTCTGTCCCATGTTCTTCCACTGGGCTGGGGAGAAAACTCAGGGGGTCAAGGCACTTGCTGCCAAGTCTGACAACCTGACTTTGATCCCAAGACCCTTTTGATAGAAAGAGAGAAGGAATTCAAAACAAAAACAAAACAAAAAAAAAAAACCAGTATTTCTTAGGGTGATGCAAGGAATAAAGGCATTTGCCATCAAATTCTTCCAACTTTGTCCCAAATGCTCCTTTGTCCATACAACGCTCTCAACTCTTTGTACTGGTTTTTGTTTTGTTTTTGCGTTGCACCTGTCCTTAAAATTCTAGGCCACATATTCAACCCGACCTCAGACTTCCTGTCTCCTGAGAGTTCTGCATGCCAGCAAAGAACACATGTGTGGACGGAGCTAAGCCAACACACACACACACACACACACACACACACACACACACACACACACACACACACACACACACACACACAGCTGCTTGTTTCCTGCCCCCACTCCCTCTGCAGCTGCAGTGTAAACAAACCAGCACCTGGAGGCCTGTTTTGGATGTTTTAGCACAGAAATAACTTGGAGGGCAAGGGCTGTTCTGACCTCTGGTCCCCAGGACTCGGGCTTCAGCCCTTCCCTCCTGGCTCTCTCACCCACAAAGTTCCAAAGGTCGGGCCTATTAATGTCCACTCTGACTTAGGATGTCCTGGGGTCAAGCAATGCAGGAACCAACAGGATGGTTCTCTCACCAGGAGCTACTAGGCAGAGTCCCGCCCTCCTTGGCTGTCAGGGAGCTCCACCCACCAGGAGCTAACCACTGCAGACTGTGCTTGGTCAAAAGACTAGGGACAAGATCATGAGGAAGCACAGTGTGGGCTACCCCAAAAGCATGCCATCCCTTCCCCCTGGGCATCATGACAGGGGTGTGCAGTGGTATCTAACTTCCCTAGCTTGGGAGGAAGAAAAGATAGCATGTGTCTGCCCCGCTAACCCACAAGTTTCTACTTATTTTTTTTTTCTTAGCTTCAGAAATGAGTCCTCATCTTGGCCAGGACCAGGAGACCTCAAAGTCAGCACACAGATTCAAGCCCTGCTTTGTCTGTATGGGACCCAGGGCATTGGATATGGAGACAAAGATGGATGCTCCTCACCCAAATCCCAGGCATCATGGCACACACCAGCCTGAGATTCAGATATTGACACCTTCGTGCACACAGATCTCAGATTCTACTGCTGTTCTTGGCACCAGAGACCCAATCCCAAGAGTATACCTTGTGGAGGTCAATTTACATTGTCAACGTGAGTGGCTTTTAGAATTACCTAAAAAACACCTCTGGGTGTCTCTATGAAGGCATCTCTAAGGAGGTTTAACCAAGGGGAGGGGATTTAACCTGAAAAAAGGGGGAATGCAAGCTGAACACCAGCGTTCATCTCTCTCTGACCACAGATGCAGCAGGACCAGCTTTCCAAGCTCCCTGGATCACAATGGACTCTATCTCCTCACACCACAAGTCAAAATAACCCTTCCTTCATTAAATTACATTTGTAAGGTATTTTGTCACAACAATAAGTAATTAGTTACACACACACACACACACTGTGATAGGCAGAACTGTACAGAAATCTCCAGACTCCTCCCATCTACTTCCCAAACACGGATGAGAGCTACATATACATCCCATCTCCCCCAACACACCAAGAACACCCACCATGGATGCCAAGAGAATTGTTTGGTACAATACAGGTTGCTGGGTACTACAGCCAAGAATGGCCTTCTGATTGAAAGGGTTTGGAAGAGCCTCTGCTGTGCCTTGTCCTCCATCTCTGACCCCAAGCACCCCCTTCTTTGTAATAATAATAACACCGTGAGGTCCATCTGTCTTGATAAACCCCTTTTCCCCGGGCCTGTGCTCTGCCACTGCTGGCCATGAGATGTTGGTCCACCAAGGCAAAGTTGAGCCAGTCAGATTCTCTTGCCCCAGAAGTACTATCCAGGACCAAGACAGCAGAGGCTGGGTGCTGGAAGGCCTGATGGGCGGCAGCCTCTGAGCTGAATTCCCAGGACCTTGACAGTTGCCATCCACATTGGGTGTGACAACGCAAGTTCTTCCTCAGTTCAGTTCAGTTTCCTGGATACTCCAGGGGCTTCCTTTTCTATTCTGCCCCCTTTTATTAACCAAGTGTGGTTTGATTGCTTCTGTCTAGTAGAAACTTGACCAGCAACTGAAAGCTCAAACAGGGATTGGTCCCCAAGGTGGAATTGTGTGGGTATTTTTGCCTGTATTTATTTTCTGCTCTGTTATTCAGGAGGCTCTGAAGGGGCCCTGGTGCAAGGATTGGTCAGAAAACTAAGCTTACTCACCACCCCATGTGTGCCCAGAGAAACAGGACTTGACAGCCCTGGAGACCCCAGACCCCACTGGAAGAACACAAGGTCACAGGGGCACTCTGTGAAAGGCTACCTTTTCTAAGTGTTGCCCCTCCTAAACTCCGGAGACCCTAAAAGTGTGAGTCTCCTTGTCGGTGACAATCGCCCAGTGCCCCAGCCAAACAGCCCGAGTCATGATCAGAGGGTCCACAGACTTTATTTCTGTCAGGAACACTCATGCTTTCACATCTAGCCTAACTCTGAGAGGTTGCTGGGGGCTTCACTCAAGGCACCCAGAACTATAAGCCATTTCTAGGCATCTAGGCTGACTCTTCACTCATCCTGGCCCGCCTCCCCATCTTTCTTCCCTTCTGTGTTCTCTCCAGCATCTTTCAGATTTTGACGAGCAAACTCCTCAAAAACAAAATTTTCGTCCTGAACACTAGAAGAAAACAGACAATGTGTTAGTTAGTGCTTACTCTCTGAAGCTGAAGATGAAATCCTGAATGAAAAGACCACTGATCTTTCTGCAGTAAAGGAACCAATTCAAGTAGAATGTGTTCTCTCGGATGGAATAGGGGCCATGTCATTCCCAGGACAGAACAGGGACCAAGCTTTTCCCAGAATAGAACAAGGGCCATGCCTTTCCCAGGAGAGAACAAGGACCATGCTATTCCTAGGATGAACAAGGACCATGCCATTCCCAGGATGGAACAGGGACCATGCCATTCCCAGGATGGAACAGGGACCATGCCATTCCCAGGACAGAACAGGGACCATGCCTGTTTCCTCAGGGCTTTTTGGGGGGTCTTGTTGTCTTTCTGTTTTTCTTTTGTTTTTGTGACAGAGTCTCACTCTACAGATGAGGCAGGCCTTGAACTTGAAGTGATCCTCCTGCCTCAGTCTCCCATATACCTGGGATTAAAAGGTAGGCCATCATGCCTAGCTAAGACTATGCTTAGAAACTCATTAACAAACAAAAGCAAGAGGAAAAATATGAGAACCTACAGAACAAAAGACACATGGAGCACATCTATAAATGTACACATCTTAAGTTCTTACAAGCAAAAGGAAACAGGACTAGCACAGATATTGTGAGAGGAGTCTGTAAGGGAAAAGGAGTCACAAAACACAGAAAAATTCAGAGCAGCATTCAAATGGCTCACCTTTCCTTTGCTGTAGGCCCAGGATGCAGAGAGGGGGAGAAATGGAGATCAATTATTATTTTAATGAGGATTTGTGTATCCCAGGTTAATCTCAGAGTCATCATAGGCTGAGGATGACCCTGAGCTTCTAGTCTCCCAGACTTTTTTTTTTTTTTGAGATAAGTTCTCACTAAGTTGCTAGGCTAACTTTGAACTCCCAATGCTCCTGCTCAACCCCCTGGTAGCTGAAGTGACAAGCCTGTGCTACCATGACCCTATCTCAAAATAACAAAAAGAAGGGCAGAGCACTTTCCTAGACCTTCTAGGCTTTAGATTCAATTCTCATTAAAATAAAACCTTAAGATAAAATGAAAGTTCCTGTGGAAAGAGATACCCTAGAATCTTATTTACTGTTGAGTGAAGGAAACTTGAGCTTGAAAAGGTAGACCATAAGAACAGCAAACCTGACATCAGGGTTTGGAGACATCTCTCCAGCCCCAACTCTCTGAAATTGTAAGCACAAAAGATCACTGTTTCATTCTAAAATTATGGGTTGTCTAATATAGGGTCTGTAATGACCAGACTGTGAAAATATTCTAAGCAAAGGGAGAATAACTCAGCTTTTTCCAAAGTAAGTCACCAATATGGAAAGTTCCAGAAAACAACCAGGTGGTGGTGGTGCACACCTTTAATCCCAGCACTTGGAAGGCAGAGGCAGGGGGATCTCTGTGAGTTTAAGACCAGCATGGTCTACAAAGTGAGTTCCAGGACAGCCAGGGCTACACAGAGAAACCCTGACTCAAAAAAAAAACAAAAAACAAAAAACAAAGAACAAAAACAAAAAAGAAAGTTCCAGAACTACCCAGCATAACTGTAGCATTAGGAGACTGTATTTTCAATGTCTTTTAAAGGAACCTGGATATCTGAATCTCACACCATTCGGGGGGGACGTTTTGGGGGCAGCTGGGGATGAGGCTCACTATTAGAACACTTGCCTAATGTGTGTAAAATGTTGAGTTCATCCCTGGTGGCAGGGATGAGGGATGGTGGGGGGGGGTTGTCAGTATTGAGGAGCACATTTTCTTTTTTTTGTTTGTTTGTTTTTTGTTTTTTTTTTTTCCGAGACAGGGTTTCTCTGTATTGTTTTGGAGGCTGTCCTGGAACTCGCTTGGTAGACCAGGCTTGGTCTCTAAAGGCGTGTGCCACCACTGCCCAGCGAGGAGCACATTTTCAAGACTGCTTGAATCTATGTTTTACTGGATTGCCATCCCGATTAGTCTCCAAAAAATGTTTAAAGTAGCATTTTAATGAGACAAATATAAACAAACAAAAATATATGACTAGACTATTTTCCCCCAAAGGGAAGCTTTTGGCAAAGCGTACTGAGGGTTTAAATCTATTTTTTTTTAATAGTCTTGCTAGTATTGTCTAGGCTGGCCTCAAAGTTGCCATCCTCCTGCCTCAGCCTCCTGAGCCTGGGATTACAGGCATACACAAGCACACCTACTTCCATTTAACTTTTCTTCTCAGAACCTCCTAGCTCTAGCTCACACACCATCCCATTCATATCTTTACAGGGACAGTGGAAGAATCTTGGTGTGTTCACAGATGTGTGCAACAATTGCTTCATATAGTATCCACACAAGAGTGCATGGATGGATCGTCAAATGAACAGAGACAGTCAGAATTCAGGCTGACCTTTTCTAGTATTTTCAGTAATCTCATCCCTATCACTTTCAGAAATATATATCATCTTCTAAATGCCTTTTGACACTTTCAAACGAGAGGCCTTTTGTTTCTACATAAAGCAATGCCTGGGGCTTTTCAGAGGGAGTGTCCCTTACATCATCTCTAAATCTAAATCAAGGTCTGTGGACAGCAGAGCTTCTGCAGTGACATTGTCCCTGATGAAATCCAGGTCATCAACACCCAACAGAGAGTAGGAATTCTACACTCTCCACACAGAGACAGGAAGTGGACAGAACCAGGACTCAGTAAGTGAGCTAGCTCTCCCTTCCAGGCTGACCTGGTCACCCTGTAGATAACACCCATACTCAGAGGGATAGTTGAGGAAGACCAGAGATACATTAGTGTGCAATAAGTCTGCCTGTGGTTAATAGATAAGAGGCATTAATGGATGATGGGAATGACTGACCTGGGTCCTCAGGCTGTGGGTGCATGAGGCGAAATGGCACCTCAGTGGCCACTTCACTAGAAAAAAGGAAGAACACAGGCTGGTGAGTGCACACACAGGCAGATACACACACAGTTACAGATCTCACACACAGTTACAGATCTCACACACACAGTTACAGATCTCTCACACACAGTTACAGATCTCTCACACACAGTTACAGATCTCACACACACAGTTACAGATCTCACACACACAGTTACAGATCTCACACACACAGTTACAGATCTCTCACACACAGTTACAGATCTCACACACACAGTTAGATCTCTCACACACAGTTACAGATCTCTCATACACAGTTACAGATCTCACACACACAGTTACAGATCTCACACACAGTTACAGATCTCACACACACAGTTACAGATCTCTCACACACAGTTACAGATCTCACACACACAGTTACAGATCTCACACACAGTTACAGATCTCACACACACAGTTACAGATCTCACACACACACAGTTACAGATCTCTCACACACAGTTACAGATCTCTCACACACAGTTACAGATCTCACACACACAGTTACAGATCTCTCACACACAGTTACAGATCTCTCACACACACAGTTACAGATCTCACACACACAGTTACAGATCTCACACACAGTTACAGATCATACACACAGTTACAGATCTCTCACACACACAGTTACAGATCTCTCACATACAGATCTCACACAGAGTTACAGATCACACACACAGCTACAGATCACACACAGCTACAGATCACACACACAGTTACAGATCACACACACAGTTACAGATCACACAACACAAAATTGGGGCTTCAGAGATTCTCCAGAAGATTCATTCAGTGAGATTCAAAACAAAACAGACT